GGCTTGTATGGTCTATTGATTCGACCTGTTTGGCTTTTTTATTGAATAATAATGCTACAGACACCGGGACTGTGAATCAAATTCTTACACCGAATTACGTGTCCTATGACTCAGACTAGCCATGTATCCTATTAACAAATATTTTGTGAGTAAACGGCCGTTCATCAACGATGGACGACCATTAGTCCACATTTAAAGGACGTCCGTTCATCAGTAAATGGAAAAAAAGCTTATAAATAAAAATAATGGACGGATGTCCATATATAATGGACGCCCGTCCATACGTTAAATAAAATAAAGTATGGACGAAATGCAAGGACGCCTGTTCATTAGTTATGGATGCCCGTCCCTACATTTTGGATGGGCGTCCACATATAACAGATGTCCATACTGTAAATTAAAAAAAAAAAAATTAAAACAAATTGTTGGACGCCTGTCCATTATTCAGTGGACGGGCATCCCTAACTTGTGGACGAGCGTCAACATATAATGGATGCACGTCAATACTTTCAATTAATATAAAAATTTTAAAACAAATTTTTTGGACGCCTGTCCATATGTTATGGACGGGAGTCCATATAAAAAGGACGGTCCATAATATAATAAAATGTTTTTCTTAATTTACTTTTTTTTTTTTTTTTTTTCTATTTGTAAAAAACATTAGCTTCTCCAATACGACTTCTCCAAAACAAGAGCCAAAATTTTGTGAGCGAAACAAAAAAGAAAAAACTTCATTTTATACCTATTGCCTTTTGCTTCATCGTTCCCGTCTGTTCTTTGCGTCTACATTCTTCTCATCTGCGACTGTACCAGTTTGTTCCTCAACAGCCACAATCAGTTTCTTCCTTAACAACCAACTACCGTGACAAGAAAGAAGCCATAAATTTTTCATAAAACAATCGTTTAGGGTGGAAAGGGAGATATGAAGATCAAAATATGTTTAGATTAGAAAGATTTGTTGAGGTTGTTAAGCGGTTTTTATTTAACTTATGCATTTATTTAGTTTTGTATTCTATTTTGGATTGAATATATGTTACAATAGAAAATAACTGATAGAGAATATTTGTTGGTGATTGTTGTGAATCGGATTTATGAACGCAAACACTAGTATTGGTTTTGCATTAAATTACAGAATATGGAAGAGTCCAGTTTGCCTCATTTCAATGATGTTGAGGTAAATTGTGCTCAAAACCTTAACTTTTTTGTTAACATGATTTTAAATTTATTGTATCGTATTGTTTCTTATGATGTGTTGTATTAGTACATTCTAATTTTGTCCATTATAAAACTATTAAATGATTAAGAAAATGAACGTGATGAATTAGAAGATATGGGATGTGTAGAGGAAGAAGTGAAGCCTTATATTAGAATGGTGTTTGATTCAGTTGATAGTCTGGTGAAGTATTACAAATGGTATGGTAACAAAATGGGATTTGAAGCAATGATATGTACGTCAAAGAAAGGTGATGATGGGGAGATGAGATATGTGACAATGACATGTTCTTGTTATGGGATGGAGAGATGTAAATCCAGAAATACCTTGAAAAAAAAACCTCTAGCCAAAACAGATTGTAAGAGTCTGATTAGTGCAACTTTGAATGGTGAATGCAAATGGGAAATTAAATTAGTTGTACTTGAACATAACCATGATCTTACAAGTCCGAAAAAAAGAAGATATTTCAAGGTTAACCGAACGATACAACCTTATGTGAAAAGGAGACTTGAAGTTAATGATGTGATTGGGATTAGACCGCGTAAAAATTTTTAGTTATGTTCAGTTGAGGCAGGAGGCTTAGAGATTTGACGTTTCTACAAAAAGATTGTAAGAATTACATTGAAAAAGTGAGAAAGCTACGACTTGTAGTTGGAGATGTTTTGGAAGTACTCGAGTATTTTATGAAAATGCAAAAGGAGAATTCAAATTTCTGGTACATGATTGATGTAGATGAAGAGAGTCGATTATAGAATGTGTTATGAGTTGATGCTAGATGTAGGGCTACATATAAAGAATTTGGTGATGTTGTCACCTTCGACACAATGTATCTGATGAACAAGTATGATATATTATTTTCTGCTTTTGCGGGGATTGATCATCATGGACATTCGACGTTGTTAGGTTGTGGGTTAATTTCCTATGAGGACACTAAAACATTTGTATGACTATTTCGTTCTTGGCTTGAATGCATGGATGTTGCTCCTAATGGAATTATCACTGATCAAGATAAGACCATGCAAAATGCAATTGAAATTGTGTTCCTTGGTACAAGACATAGGTGGTGTTTGTGGCATATAATGAAGAAAGTGCCTTAAAGTTAAGAGGGTATAAGGAATTTGAAACTATAAAGTTTAAGTTACAAAATATTGTGTATGATTCCTTTACATGTGAAGAGTTTGAAGAGGGGTAGAACCAATTTGTTGATGTGCGTAACCTTCACGAGAATAGATGGTTATGTGGATTGTACAAAGAAAGAGTATGATGGATGCCTACATTTCTTAAAGATACTTTCTGGGCAAGTATGTCTACTACCCAGTGTAGTGAAAGTATGCATACATTTTTTGATAGATATGTAAATCCCAAAACTACTTCGAAACAATTTGTGGAACAATATGATAATGCATTGCGAGATAAAGTGGAAAAAGGAAGGGAGGCTGATTTTAGATCTTTCAAATCTTGGATACCATACATAACTAATTACCCTATTGAGAAATAATTTGAAAGTGCATACACAACTGCAAAGTTTAAAGTGTTTCAAGAAGAGATTCCGGGGAAGATTTATTATGAATTATCTTTTCTGAATAAATGTGAGTATTAAGTTTTAGAAGATGTTTGGTTTGGAGATAGTAGTCACCGTGTTCCCTTTGCGGTATACTTTGAAGAAAGTTCGTGTGATATTCGTTGTACTTGCCATTTTTTGAGTTCAAGGGGATTTTATGCAGACATGCCATTATGGTGTTGATTCATAAAAGGGTTTCACACGTTCCAAAAAAGTACATTTTACGGCATTGGAGGAAAAATATAAATAGATGCCATACGAAAATTAATGTGAGTTATAATAGATGGAGCACCAACATTAAAGGACAACGTTTTGATAAGTTGTCTAATATAATGTTGATAGTAGTCGATATGGCATCAAACAATGAGGAAGATTATAATATGTTGATAGAGTTTATGATTGATATGAGAAAAAAGTTGGAGCAAAAGGAAAGTGAGAGAGGGCTTGGTATAAAAGTGAACATCTCTTCCACAACCGGTTTGAGTAGTAAAGATGGGGACAGTCCTCTGAAAGAGGGGAATAGTCTAATTATTAGCCCACATGCAGCTCGTAGCAAATGTCATCCTCCATGTAAAAGAAAGCAATCGAAGGTTGAAGAAATTGTGCGTAGGGTTAAAAAGAAAAAATTACAAAAACAAAGAATTGGTATGAGTTATACATCTATTCTTACATGATATTTTTTTTTGAAACATTATTTACTTATTTGAAGTTTATAATAATATCGACTTGATCATTAATGTGTTATGCTACTTTTTAGGAAAAGGATCATCAATAAAGCGAGAAAAGGAACAATTTCTTTCATTTACTTCCGTGGCCAATGCGAAAACTCAAGTATTATCGAATGATGTTGTTACTACCCAGGTATGTGTTATGTGTGTTGTATAATTGTAATTGGCTTAAGTTTTCTATAACGTGTGCTAAATTATGGTTATTAAACAATGACAGTTGTCCACTGGTCTGGTTTAGAATCTCGCAGGACAAAATAATTTCTGTACTGGACAAGAGTTTGTAAATGATGAACATGTCTCGTTGAGAGATGTTTGATATTGTTGACAAGTTAAAGCATATAAAATTGTAGTTGGTAGAAATTATTCATGCTTTGGTTAATTTTTGCCAAATGCAGTTGAGTTGTATGTTGATTCAGTTGTTTTGTTTTTAGTATTTTGGTCATTGGTTGTGTATGAGTAGGCTATCTGCTGTAGGGTTGTGAATTCATGATAATGACCTTAATGTAACTTATTATGAATGTTTTCAATATATATTATCGTCACATTGCAGACTCCGACTGTAGATGGAATTTTGGATATGCATTTCATTTGAGATTTGAATTTTGATGTCTTTGGGTATGTCTAGTATTACATATACATATGTATTCAAAAAAGTAGTTGAGATATGTATAAACAAATGGCAAATCTATTTATAAATAAAAGGCAATCTTTATCAAGAACATCCGTTGGAATCAATCTATTTATAAACAAAAGACAAATATAATCTTCATACATAAAGCTTAATATTTGAACTACACATAATGACAATTAATATTCATAGTGCGTTCCCCTAAGAATGTTGACAAGGAGGAGACTATTGAGAAATTCTTCATCATGGTGCAGGGGGTGGAGGTTGACTAGAGGAGGAGGAGGCTATTGAGAAATTCTTCATCATACTGAAAATTTCTGTCATACGTTCCCCAATGATTTCAACTGTTTCTACTATTCTTGATGCGAACAAGTTGATATCACTTTGTAATTGATCATTTTGTTCTTGCATTTCCCTCTCAATACGTGAAAAACACTCCTCTTGAAACTTTTCCATCTGTTCAAATCTGCTTACTATTTCGTCTAAAGTATGAGAAGACATATCTTCTACATTCTGAGATGATCCAGGTTCAATACTCGTTCTTCTTCTTTTGCGCACCTATACTTGTCATTCATTTACCCCTTATGGAACACATACACCTTCCTAAACCATTGCGTCTCCCTCAATTTCATCCCTAATCACAAACTATTCTCCTGCCATATTCTTTTTAATCAAACCCATTTTACACAATGTCACATCCTCGACATATTATTTGTAGAAAACTTAATCTTATTTGCTTCAGCATTAAGGGTGATCTGAATACCCAACTTCTCACATATTAACATAACAAGCATCCCCCAATATATTTCTCATTTTTCTGCTTGACCCTCTCCTAACTTCTAAATCAATAACTTCGCTGAATTTACTTGCCTCCCTACTATTGCTGCTTCCATGAACATTAAATCCTTAACCGTCACATTTCCATTTGTCTCTTTCCTACCATTAAATGTGTAAGTCAGATATCTGTGAAATACTCTCATAGTAGGATTCTTTAACTTTGTAGATTTACACCTATGTAGATGGTAAATCCCTATCCTAGAAACATCCATCCAAGCATGTTTGGAATCCCACGTTCTAGATACATTATCCAAACCTTCAAAATTAAATCCTATCCAAGTTGCTAAATCTTGTGGTCTCACTAAAAAGTTCTGATTCTTTAATCTAAAAAACATTGTATACGTCGGAAACTCATCAGTATCTATCTCCACAACTTCCAAACTACCAAAAAACTCATAGATCAAATGCTTATATCCATCATATCTAATGCTCACCAACCGGTCCCATTTCAAATTATGAATCCAACCATTCATTTCATCACCCAAACCCAAACTTGTTATAAGTCCTAAATCCAAACTTCTTCCAAGGCAAATATCTATTTTCGACACCTCCTCGTATTGTTTTTTATGTCACAAGTCTCGAAATTGGATTGCAGATGACGATGTGCCTTCATGAGGAATGGTTGTATTTTTTGCTCTCACCATTTTCTGCTTTCTTCTAAAACATGTCTACATAAAAAAAATTCATCATCATAATCAATCATAACTGAAGAAGTTTGAAAGATGCAAAAGTGTCAATAAGAACATGAATCTCTATAGAAACTTGTACATAATTATAGTTTGTCTGCATTCATCACTGTTTAGATTGATATTTAGAAGAAGTTAGCTATGACTCATCGCAAACAAAGCAGCCATTTTCCTCACTAACTCATCCTCAAATTCATAATATCTTCAGGAAAATTATCATTTCACTTCAAATCATCTGTTTAATATTTTGTGTTATGCTGCTAGATCCCACCCTTACTTTCTGGGTCCATCCTTTTTAATGAGATCAACATTATCACTTATAATCGCACTGCCACCAATAGATGACCAATTTATTAACAATACCAAAACAATTTGTTCAATAACTCACCATCCTGACAAGCACTCAAACTAGATTTTAGTTGTAAAAAAAACCATCCACAAGCCTGGGGCCGAAAGTTGGTCCCCCTACGCCCTTATACAAATGAAACTTGGTCCCCCTTCAAGTAAAGTCAAAACCCTAGTCTCATCAAAGCCAAACACCTTCACAGGATTAAATGCTAAGGTTACAAATGAAACTTGGCACTGCACCAATAATGCTGACAATCCATATAAGTAGAGAGCATAATATGCTTGAGATTTTCAAGAGAACTTAAGAGCTACGAAGACACATAAATCCAAACTTCAGGATAGATTACCTTTATTTCTCAAACTATTCTTCACAATGCCAGAGGTTTGTCCATGTAACAGAACTTTGTTTATTTAGAATCAAACTAACTAAAGAGAATTAAGCCATCCGAAAAAGAGATTTTCATACAATCATGTCGAACAAGAGATTTATCTATCTGACTTGAAATGCAAATCCTAATGTTTTAGCATTGTACTCTATCAAATTAAACAACTTTCTATTAGATCACACACATTGATTTTCTAATTATTTCTTTGTGCCATTTTAAACTTGAACACATGACACTTACTAGAAAATAAGCAATGTAATCAAGAAATATGGGGTAAATCCAATATGCAAACAATATTAGTTTTATTCTTTACATTTTCTCTATAACAGTAAGTCATATTTTCTAAGGTGGAATGTAAAATCTGGTATCCGGGTTTTGAGATGAATCCTCTTCCTAAGATTTAGGTTGTGTGAGCTAAGGCAGTAGAAATTAATAGGCTAAATATTGTTTGTGGACAATGGCTATATATTGTTCTAAGTGACGAAACTAAAGTACTAAGAAAACATAATTTAAAAAAGTTTGGTTCTATATGAGTCTCTGGCATGACTGAACTAACAAGAACATTTACTCTGCATCTGGTTATCATTAGATGAATATTCTGAGCAACAAAGATGTGTGGTGAAGAGGAGGACGAGTGGAGTGCTAGTGTCCTTTTGCTCAAGGTTTTTCTCTTCATGCTACTACTAACATTGACACCACCAGTCCTATTTTTTCTTAGTCCTGGATAATCCTTGTTGCTTTTTCTTTTTTACATTAGCCTAAATCAGATTGCTCTGTTTTGCCATCCTCAACCAATTCACATGACAATAGACCTGACGTCTCATCTTCTCCCATCTTACGTAATTCTCCACATCCGCCTTCACTAAACCTGGAAGTTGATCTTCAGGATTATAATACGCTAGCACTCCACTCATCCTCCTTTTCACGACACATCTCTGCTGCTCAGAATATTCATCTGATGATAACCAGACGTAAAGCAAATGCTCTTGTTAGTTTAGTCATGTCAGAGACTCATATATACAAAGGACTAAATTAGTCTCTAATGATTGCCCATTCAGTCTTACCTAATTTACCAATAATCAATGGCCAATGGATTAAGACAGCTGAACTTAATAGTGTACATTAAAGACTAAGTATATACCAAGGCTGGCATCCTAGTCAAGCAATGTCTTTTAAGACAGTGCAAAGTCGAGAGGTTTAAGTCCTTGGATGCATTCTTGAAAAAGTTTATGAAACTAAAGAGCAAGGTGATAAGAGGTATTGAAATGGACTGAAATGGATGGAAGTTAACTAAGACCCAGCGTTTCAGTCAACATGTTATAGTTAAGAATTGTGGAAAAGTCAATTGACAAGTCTTTGTAGAAGAGTGGCATGCCAAAGTTTCTTTTAAGGCTATTTATTTTTACATTTCTTTTCCTTTTTTAGCTTGGACAACCACACCTTGATCAGAGTGGAGAAGCCCACTAGACAAGAAAGCAAATACATAATTTCTTGATTGGTATTTAATGTGTAAATGTGCTATTGAGTGGATTATTCCTGGCTATGCTATTCTGTAGGCATGGATTTAAAAAATTGGCATTTGGAAGCGCCATGATGTAAAAAACAACAACTACTGAAGCTGAAGTACATAAAAGTATTTGGAGACCTATGTAATACTATTTTTTTACCTAAACTTTGTGGGGTCAGTGGAGATATATATCACTATAACATTTTAGGCTCTGCTATCCACTATGTATGGATTTTCAAGGGTTATCCCAAGGATACTGTAGAAAGTGTTGGCTACTAATTGGAGGAAAGTTCAAATCTAATAAAGGTTTGAAGGCAACCACTACATTTGAAGGAAGCATGAAAGAAATCAAGTGACTAAGCATATTTAGCTTCATACATACAATGCCTAAGTAGATCGCTGTCAGAACTCAATATGAGATATAGAAAACGTGATTAACAGAAACCAAAGTGACTAATTACCTTACAACAATAATGGCAAATGAGGAACTTGAAGAAGAATCACGACAGATGAGGAACTTCGACGAAGAAGAAGAGCAGCAAATGAGAACTTCGAAGAAGAAGAAGAGCGCAGATGAGGAATGAAGACAAAGAAGAAGAGCGGAGATGGGGAATGAGGACAAAGAAGAAGAGTGAAGAAGAAGAGCGGTTTCCTGTATTTTAAAATTGTCCCAAATTGATTTGACCTAAAATTTGTTTTTTTTTTTTTTTTTTTAATTTACAGTATGGACGGGTGTCCGTTATATGTGGATGCCTGTCCAAAATGTAGGGACCGGCGTCCATAACTGATGAATGAACATCTTTGCATTTTGTCCATACTTTATTTTATTTAAAGTATGGACGAGTGTCTATTATATGTAGACACTCGTCCATTATTTAGGGACAACTGTCCATAACCTATGAACGGTCATCCATTATTTTTGTTTATAAGTTTTTTTCCATTTACTGATGAATGGACGTCCTTTAAATGCGGACTCCCGTCCATATTATATGGACAGGAGTCCATTGTCAGTGAACGGCTGTCCATAGTTGATGAACAGTCGTTCACTCGCAAAATATTTGTTAATGGGATATGTGGCTGGTCTGAGTCACGAGACACGTAATTTAGTGCAAGAATTTGGTGCACAGTCCCGGTGTCCGTAGCATTATTGTTTCCTAAAATATTTTTTTTGTATTAGTATGATCTTTTATTATTAAAAAAAAAATTATTAATAATAACGTGGTTTCAAATCATGGATCAAATCAAAACATCCTTTTTCCAATTCTGAGTGCTTTAACATTTAGGTCATGTTTGGTTTGTGGATTAAAAATGGATGGATAGAAAATATCATGAATGGAAATCATTGAAATGAAAGTATTATGAATGCACAAAATGAGATTACATTGTTTGGTTGTAGTAAAAGTTTTTTATGGAATCGATTTTTTTTTTTTTTTCCATTGGTGTTTTTTAATTTTATTTTTTATTTAAATAAAAAATTTAAAATTTTTCAAAAATTGAAAAACCTTCAAACAGGTCAATGCCAGTTAAAGTCGCTGAATGGCAAAATTTCGACACTCTAATGGCTTCACCATCGACGAGTGCATAATCACCGGCCAACGATTTGCCAATTTGGGTTGATCCCGGTTGCCAAACAATGGCATTGTGATGACATGTGCGATGGCCGTGATTAGAGACCACCGCACGTGACATCATTGCATCAGTTTCGATAGTCGAAATTTCCCCATAATAGTGTTTAATTCCTCACCATTGACATGATGTGAGAATAATGATAGAATGTCGCCAGTTGACAACTTTGGCCGGTTTGAAATTTTTAAATTTTTTTAAACATAACATCATTAATATTTTGATAAAATTACTAAATAATTTAAATCTAAATAATTTGATTTAAGGATAAAATTAAAAATTAAAATTAAAAAAAGGGTAAATTAGACATTTTAGCCATCCATTACTGGTAATGGATGACATTACTCTCAAATTTGGAAATAATTCTACCCACACCCTTTTTTAAGGAATGGAAAGCTCATTCCTTATGTCACTCTTATAAACAAAACAAGAGATAAAGAATAAGATTCATATTCTTTAGTCCATTCACCCCAAGCAAACATGACCTCAGTTTATGGTAAATCTAATAGGATATAAATATAATTATACAATATCTTTCATGCTTTGCCAAAGCCTGTCTCAAAATGATATAAATTCTTATATGATATTGAAAATAAATGAAAGCTAAACATTCTTAAGGTGAAACAATAGGAAAGCTAAATCACACATGTACCATAATCACCCAACTAACTTTTAAACCAATTGGAGAATATTGCAAAACAACCTATTAACTACTAACACGTTATCTTCATGATAAGTATAGATTTCATTTATATTGACATTCGTTTCAAATCTCATCTTGCATAATTACATTTAAGAAAAAACTTACTCGGCTGTACAAGCACCTATTCATTGATGTGACATACTTAGAATCTAATTTTATAATCTTTTTCTCACGACTCCAATGTGACAATTCACAATTTGTCAATTTATAATTAAGCAAGCAAAACCTATTATTGGGTAAGCAAGACCCATTACAAGTTGATCAATTGTGAATAGACAATATCCATTATAAGTTGACCAATTGTGAACTGTCACGTCGAAGTTAGAAGTGTAGTATTGTCCATATCAACTATACATGAGATTTTTCTCAATAAAAATCAATTTATTATCCAAATTCTAAACAAAGAAAAAAAAGAAAAGTAAATGTTTTTGATTAATCTTAAATTATAAGGGAGAGATTACGGAATCTACTAAAAAGTTAATTACCTAGACCTCCCTTGAGGTTTCAACATTTCACAGGTTTATAGAAAAGATCATTAGGTTAATATAAACACCCTACCTCTTTCAACTCTGTTGTGGTTTTTTTACTCCCTCCAACATAAAAAATTGACAACTTACCCCCTATAATTAGCCACTTATACTTCTTAGGCTCCTACTGTCAAATTTTGGTGTTGAATTGATTGAGATAAGGGCAAAGTTGAAAATTAAAATATTTTGCCAAGAAAAAATAATTAAAGTATACTTAATTTTTTTTGTTTTGTAGATAGAAAATTCAATAATATTTTTTTTAAAGAAAAAAGATCTTTGATTCTTACGATCCAAGAATGGTGGTTCAAAATCTCTAATTGTCCTACATCTTTTTTTTTTTAAAGGAAATTCTTTCAAAAATAATATTAATACTACACATACAACAAATTTATATAATATTTCTCATATAACATAAAATAGCAAAAAATGATTAGCTGATTTTAAATTAAAAATAAACTTTCAATTAGTTGATTTTAAATTAAAAATAAACTTTCACCCACTCATCAACAAATTTATATCTTTTGTCACATCATATTGTATAAAAAATGTTGTATATATAATATTACTCTAAATCTTAAATATATAGTTTTAAATAAACTTTTTCTAAATATTTTTTATTATTTTGAAATATTTAACATATGGCTTGGGTGTTAACGTAAAACGTCTATCTTACCCTTCAGTTAACTTTAACACCAAAAATTGATAACAATCAAAGGGTGTAAGTGGCTAACTATGAAGGGGGAGCAACTTGTCAGTTTTTTATGTTAGAGAGAGTATAAGTAAAACAATCCTAACAGAAAAATTAAAAGACTGAAGGTATTTGTGTTAACCAAATCATGTTTTCTGTTACTTCCAAGCCTAGGGAAGGTATATGCAATTAACTCATATGCTAAAAAAAAAAAAAAAAAAAAATCTGACAGCCAGTGCTGAGGAGTGTGTATATAAATGGAGTAGCAAGAGAAACGGACGATTTTGAGCTTTAAAGATTTGTCCGTACGAAGACTCATCAAACTCTTAGCCAGAGACTGAGATCTCTAGGCTGTTGCTGGTGTTGGTGTGTACGATTCTTCGGTTCACCCGAGAATCATCACCGTTCGATTTCGTCGATCTGATCGCATTTTTGACCAGATCCATTTCTCGAACATTCATAAACGCCTCTGATTTCATCAGAATTCAACAATTTAAGTACGTTTACCGCTCTTTCTTCGATATTATAGATTTGTAGTTTAGTTTCTGGTCAATACTGTTTGTTGAAGTTTGAAACATGTATGGATTTGGATCTCTGATGAGTAACTGAATTAACGGTTAATTTTGTTGAATTTATAAGCGAACTCGTGAAAATAAGATTTAGAATCTATGTTTGGTTGCTGAGAAAACGAAGGTTAATAAAATGGAAATTGCAATTCAATAATTCGGAGTTTTCCTTGTTCATGTTGTACTAGACCAGTGTAAACTTCTGTTTTTAAACTTTTTGAATTAGTTCATTGTGTATAAATCTCTTCTGAATTTATATACAGTCATTTAATAGTTTATGATCGTTTCACTTAAATTAACAGAAAAGTGTGTGTTAGCAAATGATAGTTGGTGATAGGAGAATGAAATTTGCCTGTTGCATTCGTGTTTTATCGTTATTATTATCTATTTTAACATATAAAATTTAATGGTGCGGTTATTTCCTCAGTTGTTTATTTCACATGTGATTGCATGAAACCCCAAGGGATGTGGCTGTTAAAAATCTTTGTGTTTAATTGATGCAATCTTGTCGAATTCATTGGGAAGTTAGCTTAAAAATGGCTTAGTTTGTGAGATTAAAGATAAAAATATAGAGCTGTTTTGTTGTAAACAAAGGAATCTGGAATGTCTCAATTTGAGTTAAAAAATTTAAGTTATATTCCAAATTTTGATTCCAAGTTATGTTTCAACTGATTTGGTATTAATGCATCACTTACCACATCATTTTATCATTTATATGATGATACTAAGTCAGTTGATATATTACTTGATATGAAAAGGTTATGATATAATTTTAGAAATGTAGAGATATTTTTTCCAGGTGTGAATATTTGGAATATATTCTTATTCAGAGAAATTTTGGTTGCTGGATGCTAATATGACAATGCCAAATCAGTAACTTGGATAGTGAAAAATAAATAAATAAACTAAAAGGTTGTTCTTGCATATGCATATTGAACTTCTCATGAGAAGTTTGAGAAAAAGGTGCATATGATTTTTTTGGCTACCTGCATGATGGATGGTCGGCACAATGTTAGTAAAGGTTGCTCAAAAGGCTGAGATTTTAGGTTCAGATGATAGCTAAAGTGTGATCATCTACAACTGAGAGCAGTTTTGTTGTGAGTGAAGTTCTTGTTAATATAAAGGGCAACTCTTACCATAAAAGTCATGGAAAATGACATGAATCTGACTGCAGCTCATGCTTTGAAAAGAAAAATTAAATATATATATTATGATAGGGAACAAGTTTTCAATTGGCGTGTCCACCTTTTATTCTTGTTTGCCCCATTACTGATTTATCTTTTCATATTATCCTGGAGAGAAGAAATTGGTATTTACTTTTGGGAAATCATATTTAAGTTAATTGGTATGAAAATTTCATCGTAATGTTTGTCTTTCATTTTTTTAATGGTGATTGAATTATTTTACCATATCAATCTCCATTTATGGTTCATTCTATTCTGTAAATGACTAAATGTTCAACCTGTTAGTGAAAATCACCTTATAGTGTTGAATTATGAATCAACTTCAAAAGAGCAGGTGGTTTTATTTTAGTTTGCTTTCAACAATGTGGTTTTACTTTGATCTAGAAACAAGGTAGTGGAAACAAAAATCATTAAATTCTATATCATATTAGCTACTTCTTTTTTCCTGCAATATAGCTTGTCTTTCGCTTGCTGCTTCCAAAATACGAAGAAAGTGTGAAAAACTTTTTATCTTTTTTGGCAAAGACTTCCCTTCCCCTGTATCCCACCCTTGGATTCTCATAGGTTATCCTGTGTATTCAGTCACTTTTTATTAAGATAATTATTTACTTGCCGCAATAACAATCTCTATTGACTTGTTAGAAGCCTTTTTGCAAACCAAAGAAATTAAGAAAGATATGGATATCAGTAATCGGCATTCAGAATTGTCCTATGAGGAGTGGATGGCACTCCCTGTTTCCAGTTCACGACCATCAGCCCGATACAAGGTGATATTAAGTTCCTCTTTTTTCCTTTGGGGTACTGGATCACGTGTGCTAAGTACATTATCTTTGACTATCAACAAGGGCATTCTTATTTAATTTTTGCTTGTTGTTTATGAGTCAGATACTTATTGTGCTATTTGTATTTTCACATAGCATGCTGCTGCGGTGGTTGGTGAGAAACTATACATTGTTGGAGGGAGCCGTAATGGTCGATATCTATCTGATGTTCAGGTATTTAATATTCAGGCTTGATTTGTATATGAAAAAATTCTTTGTTGTAAGTCACATGTTATCCGGTAATCGTTGCAGGTTTTTGATCTTAGAAGTTGTGCATGGTCCAATCTAAAACTCAAAACCGAGTTAAATGCTGAGAAGACTGAAGACAGTGGATCACAAGAAGTTCTTCCACCCATGTCTGATCACAGTATGGTAAGAATATTTATGTCCAACACTACATTCAGACACATTCAATGACATCTGTAATTTACTTTGTCCAACTTTTATCTTTTCATAGCACAATTTGTTGTGATATTTTGTATTTGTTTCATGTTTTACTTTTTTTGGCAGATTAAGTGGGGGAACAAACTCTTAATCGTTGGAGGGCATTCAAAAAAATCTTCTGTTGGCATGATAGGTTTGTTTCTTTTGGAGGCAATTTTGGTTCTGTTTTAAATTCCTGTGATTTCTTTTGAAAGTTTTCATTATGTGCTGTAAATGGTTGGTTGGAACTTATGTCATGCTAATTGATTTCATGTAGTGTGGTATATTGATCTTGAAACCAACGTCTGCGGTGTCATGGAGACCTCCGGAAAAGTTCCAGTAATTATCTATCTTGTTTATAGATGTGCTTTGACACATGTCCTTATGTTTCAAATATTGTCAAAAGATTTTATTGTTTTTCTCTTTTGCTTTTCTTATTAAAAGTTTTAGTAATTTATTTTATAAACGACGAAAAGAACCAAATTCATTTTATACCTGTAGGATTTAGTCTTGACAGTTTTTCATTAATGGAAATTTGTTGGTATGCCTATGGAGTTTATTCTAGGCTTCTCGTGGGGGTCATTCTGTGACATTGGTTGGTTCTAGACTAGTTATCTTCGGTGGAGAAGACAGGAGCAGGAAATTACTAAATGATGTCTATGTTCTTGATTTGGAGACAATGACTTGGGACACGGTGGAGACTACGTAAGAATCTCTTGTTCTCTTAAGGAGAGCTTTATGCATGCTTTCAGAAGTGTTCTACATTGTTTTCTTGTCTTTTGATAGGCAGACACCCCCAGCTCCCAGATATGATCACACTGCAGCTGTACATGCAGAGCGATACCTTTTAGTATTTGGTGGGTGTTCCCATTCAATATTCTTCAGTGATCTTCATGTACTGGACTTGCAAACTGTAAGTATTTACCATCTTTTTCTTTCTTGTGCTTTGTGATCATGTCGACATTAGTATGTCAATACTTACAGTTTGTAAAAGTACTATTACTCTTCTTTTAAAACGTGAGCTCATCACAAGATATAGCATTTGGTTCATTAGAGCTAGAATTCTTTCTCTCCCACCACTCTGCAGCCTGATGAGGTTTCCCCATTTTGCAGAATGAATGGTCTCAACCAGAAGTACAGGGTGATTTGGTAACTGCCAGGGCAGGTCATACTGGTATAGCAGTTGATGATGACTGGTTTATCGTTGGTGGTGGAGATAACCGCAACGGTATGTAGAAAATTGTTGAATATAATTTCTCTTGGCATTTGTTTCGTTCAAGCCTTCTTTTGGATAATGATAGCATTTATGGATGCATGACCTAATCTTTCCTTATAGGTTGCCCAGAAACCATTGTGCTGGATATGTCTAAGCTGGCTTGGAAGGTCTTGACAAATGTGAAGGAAAGAGATCCACTTGCTAGTGAGGTCAGTATTTTGTACAATTGCCAATTTTTGTTTCTTTTTTAGCCATATTTTAAGAGCATTTTCTTAAAAGAGAATCTAGAGCACTTTGAAGGCACAATGGTGCATATGAATGAAATCTACCTTCTGGGTAAAGGAGATATGTTCTATATAAACACAAATGCTAATATGCTATATAGTTATATAATATACATTTCTTTCAGTTAAGATCAATATGTGACTTTTAAGTCTTGAATTATTAATATGATTGACTCCTTATCTGCTTTTATTATTTTCATAAAGTATTTTAAGATATCACTTTGTAGATGCCAATACTTTTTATCTTGTCAAGTTTTATAGGATATACCATTTGTCCTCTATTATTGATTTTTGTATTTAGTTGATTTGTGTATCTGGTTTATTTCCTTTAGTTAAGTTGAATGATACACTGTATGAGCATGGAAAGAGGGTTACTCAAAATCAGAGTACTGATGCTTTTGTCTTCTAGTGGCTCCAAGCAACCCTATTTTGTTTTGTCATGTATTGTATTACTACACCTGATATGAAAGGCTTCTAGTACCTTACTGATCTCTGGACCTGAATATATATTCTGAGATTCCTTGAATTATATTCAGTATAACTTGTACTGTAAATTTTTTTGTTGGAATTTTTAACTTCACCTCCATGCCGCATGATTTCTAAACATAAAATTATAAGCAGGGCCTCAGTGTAAGCACAGCAGTCTTTGATGGAGTGAAGCATCTGATTGCATTTGGTGGCTACAATGGGAAATATAATAATGAGGTATGTTGTATTATATAACGATTAGTATGAAATTCAAATAAACGGTGCTGACTTCAATGCAAGTATAACCTCCATCTTTCTTTTTGATTTCATTTTCATTGTTGTAAAATTTCTATGGTTTCCATGCATGCGCTTTTATCTAGGTATTCTTTTTGCAACTCAGACCAAGAGACATTTCACTCCCGAAGATATTTAAGTCACCAGCAGCAGCAGCAGCTGCTGCTTCTGTGACTGCTGCTTATGCCTTGGCCAAATCTGAAAAGTTGGAATTCCCTCAATCATTAATCTTGAACTCTAATGGAAACGGGAGCAATCTTTCTGAACAAGATGTTACAGTTGATATTGACGCAATCAAAGAAGAGAAAAGAGTTTTGGAATTGTCTCTAGCAGAAGCCAGAGATGAAAATTCCAGGCTCAGAGAAAAGGTTGATGAAGTTAACAGTACTCATGGTGAATTGTCCAAGGTCTGCTCTTGATGACACAATTACTTTTCGTTCACTAAGTAGATGAATATTATAGTGAAGTTTGAGTGTTTATCATCTGAAATATTCATCATCTGCTTTGCTGTTCGCTTGCAGGAACTCCAATCTGTCCAAGGTCAACTGGTAACCGAGAGATCAAGATGCTTTAAATTGGAGGTATCCCCTTCAAATTTTATCGTTTAATTACCTTTATTCCACCTTCTTTATTTCCTCTATTTGGTCTTTGGGTGGTTAACCGGGCTAACATTTGGAATCAACATGTCATTGGGTGAATTTAGTCATATATGGTTGTTGCTAAATGTTTGGATGATGGCGATTTTTCAGGCACAAATTGCCGAGCTACAGAAGATGCTGGAATCGTTGCAGACCATAGAAAATGAAGTGCAAATACATAGGAGACAAAAGTCTGCATTGGAACAGGAGATGGAACAAGCTACGGCTGTCGAGAGGCAAAGTTCAGGTGGTGTTTGGCGATGGATTGCTGGCAGCCAATAGAAATCAACCCCGAATTCAAACATCAGACTGTCTGCATGCGTGAACTTACACATCCACTGGAATATATATGATTATAAGCTTTGGGAGACTTCACAGCTGTCTTTTCTATTTATTATTGGGGCACAACTCTGAAATTGTATGCCAACTTTTGATCCCGGTAGGAGTTTTTTTTAAAGATTAGTTTAAATGGATAGAAATATGATTGATTTTGGTCACATTGTTCTTTATCTTGGTTGCATAGATATTTTATTATTTTTTCATTTTTCCATTTAATCAATTCCTGGTTATGTTAACATTAATACTCTCCTGTAAACTTTCCATTCTTGCCCTCATGATTTCTTTTATTTTTGTTCTATTGAGTCGCTTGAATTATAAATTCTACCGTCCTGGCGATGAATTTTTTTTGTTTTCAAATAGCAGTTCAACAACCAAGCAGGTTTTGACTGTATTTCAGCTGAAAATGGACCAATTCACAAGTAGGTTCTAAATCTTTATATATTCTAACGAAAGATTTCAGTTCATCGATTCTTTCGTTTTCAGGCGGTAACACCGAGCACATTTATTCCGAGCAACACAAGGGAGAAGGAAATGAACTACAGCTTGGCGACAACTTGCTGTTGGCTTAGTGAAACCAGTTGCTTTCTCAAGATTTTGCCTGCAGCTGATTTTGGAATAGCACTAATAAAAGCCACTCTTCTTACTTTCTTGTAAGGAGCCACCTGAAATATTTCAATATAAGAAATTAGAAGAAGATTTCTCTTGGAGACTTGAAGCTATATATCTAAAAACAATAGAAACTTTGCAGAAGAAGACCAACCTGGGCGGCCACAAATTGAATGACCTGGTCTTCAGTGAGCTGAGAACCAGTTGCTCTCACCACATATGCCATTGGTATCTGCCCTGCTTCTTCGTCTTCAAGCCTGCAAACCATTATACTATTATTGTTAATTTCCCTTATTAATTTTGCTGGAGGTTAAAGAATATTGATGATAATTAATTAAGGCAGGGCAACCCACGGTATAACAGCTGCATCAAGTATATTTGGATGACTTAGAAGTAGTGCTTCCAGTTCAGCTGGAGCCACCTGCATTCACATCAACATTTGTATTAATTTAAAGGGATAACTATAGATTAGTATTATATTATCAATCTAATAATACTAGTATATCATAATAACTATTAGATAAACTTGACTAAATCGAAAATGTCAATCCAAAAACTCATTATCAACTCCAATAATAACGTCAAACACAATTAAACACTTACCAATAATCAATGCCAATGTCATTATCTACTCAATAATACCATCAAACACAAATTGAACACTAATAATAATTTTTAATGGATATTTTAAGAAAATCAAGACAATAAACTTATATTTGTTATATTTAAAAAAGATAAAATAAAAAAATCTTAACATTTGTAATAGTCAAAGAAAAGAAATTAAAAGAGGATTAATTTTTTGAGTCGTATCTTAATATTTTTATTATTTGAAAATGTGTTTGAAATAATACTCAAAACCCTCTTTAGATAAAAAAAAAAAAAGAACTATAAAAAAACAATTTTATTCTAATTTGTATTAAAAAATTATTCCCAAAAACAATGCGATTCAATTATACCCTACACAGTCTCATAAAATTTGTTGTTTTTATTATTCGGAAAACAAAAATTATATTTAAATAGTAAATACTATATCAAATTCTAAAACTGAGCTAACTGAACTAGATTTGAATGTTTTAAGATAATAATTATTAATTCAAAATACCTGATAGCCGTTATGTTTGATAAGTTCCTTAATCCTATCAACAACATAGAGAAACCCATCTTCATCAAAATACCCAAGGTCACCAGTCCTCAACCATCCGTCTTCCCCGATCGTCTCCCTCGTCGCTTCCTCATTCCCCAAGTAACCCTGCATAATCGTCGGACTCTTAATCAACAACTCCCCTCTCCTACAAGGCCCCAGCCCCCCTACTGTCTCAACATCCACAATCTTCCCGCAAAAACTCGGCAACAACGCCCCACAAGACCCCGCCCGCGCTCTCGCATCCTCATCGCTCACAAAAAAACTCGTCGCTCCACAAGTCTCGGTCAACCCGTAGCCCTGTCGGAGCTCCACCCACGGAAACTTTCTCCTGAACGCCTCGCTCAGTTCTTTACTCAACGGCGCCGCCCCCGAACCGACTCTCTTTAACGACGACAAATCGCTCCCGGGTTTGCAGTATTTCACTAAACCCAGAATGACAGGTGGCACTGCCGGAATGTTGTTGACTTTATGAACTTTAACGGCGTCGAGCATGGCCGTTAAGTCAAACTTCTGCATTACGACGACCGTGATGCCTGAACAGAACAGCCCCAAACCGAAAAACGCGAGCCCGTATATGTGAAACATCGGGAGAAAACACAAAAAGACATCATTTTGGGAATCGGTGACGTTTACCGTCCATTTCATGAGCACCATGATTGATAAAAAGTTTGAATGAGTTAATATAACTCCTTTGCTCGTCCCGGTCGTGCCCGACGAGTAAAGTATAGCCGCCGTGTCCGACTGAGTCAACTCGCTTTTCGGTAACTCTGTCGGGTCACAGCACTCAATGAGCTCTTCTACGGATACTGACTCGTTCTTTGATTGATTAGTGTGGGAAGTGATAATTGTTGACACGGTAACTTGTTTCAATTTGTGTAGCTCTCCGGGAGCCGAGATGATAAGTTTCGCGCCCGAGTCACGTACTTGTTTAACAATTTCGGATTCGGTGTTTATCGGGTTGGCAGGTGAAAGTATCGCCCCCAGTGAAAATATCGCTAAACATACAGTCGGGTACAAGACCGAGTTTGGCGATAAAAGAAACACAACATCACCTTTTCGAACTCCAAGCGCGTGGTAAAGCCCTGAAGCGAGTGCACGAATGGAACGCCTGAGTTGTCCGTAGCTGACTCGCTGATTCGTGGCCGAGTCAATGAGTGCAACTCGTGACTCGGCGTGATCTGGATGTGGGAACTGTGACAACACAAATGTGGCCGTGTCAAGGTCATGCCTTGTAGGAATTTTGTACTCTTCACCGAGTCGCGCCAGTGAATGATATACTCCAGTGGCGGGATCAAAACCGCTTTTAAGGAAATGCTGCCGAAATTCGCCGGTTTCTTCTTCCATGTAGCACGATAAACCGGCCGATATTGTCAAGGTTTTAGTAAGTATCACTGAGCTAGTTGTGTGGAATGTAATGTGTTATTAATAGAGGTTTATGAGTGTCTTAAAGTGGGGGATTAACATCGATAATTACGTTGATTAAGGATGTAAATTAGTGTAAAATTATGTGCATAGTAGCCGGCAAGGACGATATGACCGAGTCATAATGGTATCTCGGCATTGGGTTCGTATTTGATGCTCTAAGTGGAGTAATAATAAGACATAAAGGTCCCTATATCTTATATACCATAATATAGTTTTTGTATTTTGGATACTGTAACATGTAATGGTGCCGTCCCTTATGGATTCAAATGGATGCAATCACAAGATTCAATGGTGTGACAACAATTAGGCATGCCATAAGAGCTCGATTTGTATTGAATAAACATAGTATACGTTTGTTTATTCTATTTTATTTGAAACTTTACACTAAAGATATAGAGTTGGGTTAGTACATGATGGGCCATTGGTTACACGTACTTATATGAAAAAAGCCCATTACCTCCACCATTTTGTTCTGAAAAAAGAATTAAGAGAAGATAAATTTGTTCTTTTTTTTTTTTTATATCTATTAGAATTAATATAATTATTTCAACTAAATCTTATTGTTGTTACGAAATCCGTAATAATCAGATATACCCAGTCGACCAAGACAGCACTGGGTAGGTGTGCGCATGATTATGGATAATCAGTTAGGTGATAGAGTTTGTGCTTAATAACGAGAGACAAAAGAGATTTTTATAATGGTTCGGCGGATTAAAACCAAGCCTATGTCCACTTCTATCTTATTATTTGGACTTGGATTACATGCAAAATCTCTGTTTTAAAAACTAGACCGGACAGCTAGATCGAGACCCGTCAGCTTCTCCGGTCCGATTCAGGTATTAGGAGGGTTTTTGTAATATTTCAAAATTATAAAGGTTCCTTTGTAATTTTATAGGGGTGTTTTGGAGATATATCAAAAGTTTAGAGATTAATTGGTAATTTTTTGGGGCATTTTTTAAATAAATAAAAATTTTAGGGACTCATTTGAACTTTTTTGGGAAATTTTTGTAATATATTAAATTTGAGGGATTAATAGAATTTTTTTAAAATAAAATTGTCGCTGACGTCATCGGTTGACCCGTGACCCGAGCAACAAAACGGGTTGCCCAGGTTTTAAAACAATGTGCAAAATAGATTATAAGAGGGGAACCATAATAGCGGGCTTGTAGGCTTTACTAAGTAGGTTCTTTGCTTAAATGTGTTTTTCCAGGGCTGTGTGTCTATACTCAAGTTGGAGGCGATGCCCTCTTTATACATGCCTTATGACAGTGATTGAACGTTGGTAGATTACAGGGTGAATTACACGCATAAACTACCATTAGATGACCTGATAGTAAAAGAGTAAAGGGGTCCAACATGACTTCCTGAGTTCGAGTCTCCATATGCACTAATAAAGGTGACTATTGAAGATTTACCTGATCGTCAACTTTAAGACCTCAAATGATTGATTAAGGTGCGTGCAAACTAGCCTAGACACCTTTGGTGTTAAAAAAAAAAAAAAAAAAAAAAAACCATAATCCATATCTAAGTCAGTCCTTACCTATACTTTAAGTATAGAATAATCATACTTAGGACCGACAGCTTATTGGCTAAGTCCCCTGCTACGGGAGTAACATGCGAGGTGACCTTGATCGCCCGATCTTGGTGTAGTTTGCAAATAGCTGGCGCGAGTCTGACCGTGGGAAAATCATGCACAACACTTAACACTACCGTAACTAGATTTTCATTTTTTATTTCTGAAAAAGTAAGAAAGATAATAATACATAATTTAGAGAACGATGGAGACCTTTAGGGCCTCAAAAGCATATTTTATAATTTAAAATTGTCACCTATTTTTCACCATTAAATTCTTATCTTATTTTCATAATCATTCTTTCTTCTTGTTGACTAAATTCATGTGACGACAATCAGTTATATAATATACTTTTCTTTATGAAATTACAATTTTACCAAAGAGGTTATTTGAGAATAATTGAACTTTGACATTATAATCATTTTTAAATCATTCAAGATATCAATTTTTTATTTTATTATCTGGTCAATTTATGCGTATTTTAACTAATTTTTTAGGGTTTTAAAACTGTTGGCTGTGATTTATTTTTAATTTTATTATAAGTTCTAATTGATGAAACTTTGGACAATTCAAAAGAAATAAATTCTAATAGATCCCAAATATATTCAAGATCTATGGATTGTATATTTTGTATTGATTGAGAGTTGGGTATACTTTACATTCTTTTAAGACTTCCAACTAATTTTGCTAGTTGCCAGACCAAGAATTGGAGAATGGAAAGTCAATTTATTAATTTTTTTTCTTCTTAGCTGTAAAATAAAATATTCTACCTCAAAGCAACATGACCAGAATGGATTTCTATAATTATAAGAACATTTAATATTTATTTTTTGTAAAAAGAGAAAGTGATTGACTGATTCTAATAAAAGACAATTAAAATTAAATACATTCCCGAATATCCTGAAAATTACAAGCTTTTATGAAACGTGGGCTTGCTAAAATCTAAAAGAATTTCAGAAGAGGTATATATAAAAACCTCAACAACTAAATAGAATAAAGAGGAAAAACACAACTGAAGTTGGATTAGATTCAGGGGGTCGGACTTGACAGGCGGTTGAGCAAAGAGCAACAAATCTTCTTTCACGCAAACTGAAAAAGACTAACAGCTCTCTCTCAGCCTCCGTCTTGTGTTCACTCACAGCTACATGGGAAACTACTCAGAAGGGGCATGCCACTATAGATTAGAGTATACATAAAGGTTTTATTAATCTAGAGATACAAACTCTCACAATTTCTTTTCATAAAGTTTTATCAAATTCATTAAAAATCTCAATAATAGTATTTCAAAAGTGGGGTTTCTTCCTCAGAATCACATCCACAAATTCAACCTCAAATCAAAACTTCCGGCCAGTCAAAAACAGCAGTAAAAGATTTGACAGCTAAAACCCACAACCGTGAGTCTTAGATTTTCTGGATTACGTTACCTTACATGTGTCTGCATGGCCTTATACAATATTTCAAACAATCATCTCCTCTCCCTCCAACTATTCAACGCTTTCTTCTTTTCTTCTCCAAACTCTCCATATCCCTTAAAAACATCAAGACTTCAACTTTCTCTATTAAAGTTTTTCTTTTGCTCTCTAAAACACTCCTTTCTCTTCTTTTATTATATTTCTTGCTACCATGGCGGTGGTGGCAGAGGTGCATCATCCTTGATACAAAAACTACCCGTTTCAACTCTTACAGCTCTCGCTCCCATCCAACCATCTCTCCTATCTTCGTCGCAGAGCTTTTCGGCCCATCACGCGGCCCAGAAACGCTACTGTTTCATGCTCAATTACACCAAAGTAAGCCAAAGTTTCAAACTTTATGTTTATATATATAGAAATATACATTTATCTCAATCATCTCTTGGAACTTAATTTTTTATAGTGTTATATACATATATTTCAGTGATTTAATGTGGGTTTTGGTTGTTTTTGTGTTTTAGTCAAGTTCAAGCCCCGATAGCCGTTCCAGCTGAGGAACCCCAGAGGAAAAATGATTGTTATGGTGTTTTCTGTCAAACATATGATCTCAAGGCTGTAAGTTTAATTTTACTTAATTGTATATTTAAAGTTGGTAATATAAATATTTGTTTATACATGTACATGTATGTGTTTTGTGTTATTTCCAGGGCTGGATTTAATAATTTTATTAAGGTTGTCTTGTAGTTTTGCTTGACATATAGTTGGGGATCTTGGCTTTGTGATACAAATACTTTTATATGTTGTTTGTTTGTATGCAATCCTCTTAGAAATTTTCTTAATATCGTGTCTAAAGAACATATGTTAAGGTAGACGGCGAGGTTGCGAATCTCTAGAATACAGAATTGTGCTCTGGTGTATTGGATTACCAAGAGTCTGAATTATTAGATGCTTTTGGAGGACATATAGATCTTTCTATTGATGTGTATAACTGTTTAGTGACTATAAATTATTAGCAATGCAAATCGGTACTGTTGGATTGAACAGTGTAAGACTATAAACTGATATAATAGAAAAATGTTTGTTAGCTTAATGGCATTTAGGGGGAGAAATATTGTCATTTAGCCTTATCTTCATTTTGATTTGTTCAATTTTTTATTTTTTGGAATATCAAGAAAATCTTTGTAAAATTTGTTTTACAGGAAGAGGAGACAAAATCCTGGAAGAAGTTTATTAATATTGCAGTCTCAGGTGCTGCTGGAATGATATCCAATCATTTACTTTTCAAAGTAAGAAATTCTCGTAGTCTCATTCTTATATTTTCACGATGTATGGCATCTATTTTATATAATTTTTAAAATTGTCGCATGTCAGTGCAGCTAAACATTAGAAGTAACTTGCGGTTACTCTAAAATTTGGATTTATTTCGAACAGCTTGAATGTCCACCCTATTCTGGTTGATGTTAGAATTTGTGCTGTTCTAACATCCTTGAGTTGTATAAATCAATATGATGGAACCTTGATGATAATTAATAGTGCATTATGATTATTAGGATTATATCATAACATCGTATAATCCTTTACTATCAACAATGTGATGGCTTTGTTTCATGTTATAACTCTTTCTGGTGCTTAATAATGAAAATAAGCTGAATGATAGAATTCCTCTGCATGTCCAAAAATTCAGTGATAAATCAAAATGTGGTTGATAGTGTTATGTGTCATTCATTATGATCAGTGCCATCCTTTTTTCTTTATACAACGAGCTTATTCTATTTTGTAAGGGTACAGCAAGTTCATTGAACTCAAAAGTTTTTTGGTATATTTCCATTGGAAAAAAATATGTTCTTAGTTATGTAAATAACTGTGGGTTGCAGATGACGTTACTAATTTGTTTCCATATTCCAGCTTGCTTCTGGAGAGGTATTTGGGCCAGATCAACCGATTGCATTAAAACTGCTTGGATCTGAAAGGTCATTTCAAGCTCTTGAAGGTGTGGTTCTCTAATTATACTTACAGATAATAACACTGTTGGTCAATCAATGTAGTCATCATGTCTCAAAACAGTGTGAAGCATACTAACTTTGGTATGCATTTTTATACTGCGTGTGGCATACAGGTGAGTCAAGGTAGTCCTAAACTGTTTTACATATACCTTTCTGGGATGTAAACATTTACAAAAAACTGGATCACTGGGACACCTTGCGTTGCCATCTTAGTTTTTGGTTGCTTCATCTGGGCTGCAAACTTTAGTGCCTTGCCCTGTTTCCCAATACATGTCAACATATATAATTAGAATATTTTCCTATATGCGGCGAAGTAAAATGACAACATATATATTGAAACTGATCTCCTCCTTTCTAGATATCTGAATGCTATCGTTTTAGTCTTTAAATTTCATTTTTAAGACATCTAATAATTAAATTGATAAAATCTTTCCTTTCTTCAAAATTATTTCTTTATGTATGCAGGAGTGGCAATGGAACTTGAGGATTCCTTGTATCCTCTATTGAGGGAGGTGAGTATTGGAATAGATCCATATGAGGTGTTCCAAGATGCAGAATGGGCTCTTCTGATTGGAGCAAAGCCTCGTGGACCGGGAATGGAACGAGCTGGCTTATTAGACATCAATGGCAAGATATTTGCAGAACAGGTCTGATCCATATATGCTTCTTTGCACTACTTAGGAGTACTTTTAAATCAACTATTTATTCTGATCTTGATGTGCAACTTACAGGGAAAAGCTCTCAATGCCGTAGCATCCCAAAATGTCAAGGTTATAGTTGTGGGCAATCCCTGTAATACCAAGTAAGGAAGATTCACTTTTGGACTATTATTGTTATAGTTGGTGTGTAGGTTATTGTTCCCTTTTGTGTTCCCTGGTTGGTAATTCTATTTTTATTCTGTGCAGTGCATTAATTTGTTTGAAAAATGCTCCCAACATACCTGCAAAGAACTTTCACGCTTTGACTAGATTAGATGAAAATAGAGCAAAATGCCAGGTATTCAGAACTCTTACAGATAAACCTTTTATACTGTAAATGTTGTAATCCTTTCGACTGTAATCAATCATCACTCTATGCTTTGGCTTTTGTGCAGCTTGCCCTTAAAGCAGGTGTGTTCTATGACAAAGTGTCGAATATGACCATCTGGGGAAACCACTCGATCACTCAGGTCAGTAGAGATATGCTGTTATTAAAGCAGGCATAAGTTAAATTTTGCACCAATTTTCTTCTAAAATAGTTCTGTATGTTAACTTTTACCAGGTTCCAGACTTTCTAAATGCTAGGATCAATGGCTTACCTGTGAAAGAGGTTATCAAGGATCACAAATGGTTGGAAGAAGACTTCACTGAAATTATCCAGAAGGTAAGATTGTAGACCACTTAATCTTAATTAATTTGTCTTTAATTGGAATGTAAAAGGACCTCAGTGAACAACTGTTGATTTGATTTGCAGAGAGGTGGTGTACTGATTAAGAAATGGGGAAGATCTTCAGCTGCATCCACTGCTGTGTCAATCGCTGATGCCATTAAGTCTCTAGTAACCCCCACCCCTGAGGGTGATTGGTTTTCATCTGGAGTAAGTTCATGTCTACTCAATGTAATATGCTATTACTCTCAAGTAATTATATAGTTGGAGATTCATTATAATCACCTGTTTCGGTGAAGGAAAATAGAATTCAGAAGCCCAAAAACCCTATTAGGGAGAAATAGCATGATATTCAATAACCTGAAAATTCTGGATATCAACGAATTAAACTTAAGGGTGGTGTTTGAGTTTAAACTCTGTTCCTCTTCTAAATTCCTTGTTCATAAAAGGTTAGATTCCACCAAGGTGAATATGAATTTTTCATCATCTAATCACTAAAGATGTCAATAATTAAATTAAACAATGATAGACTTTTTCGTCATTTAGTTTTGGTTTCTTTAGTCATATATTCTCTCTTACATTTTCTACTATGCCCATGTAGGTTTATACGAACGGAAATCCTTATGGTATAGCAGAGGATATTGTCTTCAGCATGCCATGCAGATCAAAAGTAAGTTTAAGTCTGATATTTCACTTGGTAGGCTTTTATTTTCTCTCCACATACAGAAATCTGTGTGGTTGTGTGTGTTTGAGATCGTGTCTAACAAAGTTACATCCATTCTTCAGGGAGATGGTGATTATGAACTTGTCAAGGATGTAATATTTGACGACTACCTTCTCAAGCGGATTACTAAGGTATGTTCCCTTTATTCTATTGCCTACTTTTTTAATTCCTACAGAAGCATTTTTAAGGAACACTTCATTATACAGTAAACGGTATTGTTATGAATCTAAATGGAGAAAATTACGGTGTCCGTCTTAGTAAGTGTCTTTTCCTTAACAGACCGAAGCTGAGCTGCTGGCCGAGAAACGATGTGTGGCTCACCTTATTGGAGAGGTAGATATATTATTAACATACCAGTCACTTTGTTTCTACTGTCATTACTACAATACTCCTAACTTGATATCTTATACTGTTGTTTATTTCTTCTTTCAGGGTGTTGCTTTCTGTGATCTGCCTGAGGATACAATGCTTCCAGGAGAAATGTAAATTTAGTTAGGGATCTTTAGGAATTAATCCAACAGCTATGCAACTGAGTTGCTGGGTCAGAAAGCAGAAAATGGAATCGAAAATACATTGATTATTTATTTATATTTTATGAGTGTTAAAATAACTTGTCAGATAGTGATAAGATTAAGCCATTAAGGTGTCAAAGTTGGACTGCTCAATAAAAGATTGAAATGGTCTCTAGTGGAGTAGCTATGCCTCATTTGTGTGTTTGATGTATAATCACAATATAAATTATTTTCAAATTAAGTATACTCTTACACATTACCCTTGAGCAAAAAAAAAATTAGTTGCTGTTATCGTGATGATAAATCATGCACATTTTTCAGTCATGCCATGCCTTATAACACTTTCTGTAAATGATGGCAACCAAAGGTAGCTAAATTTTTTAAGTAATTGGTAAATTTTATAGAGAATAAAAAATTACAACCTAAGCAGGACGGACCGGATAAGCAAGCCCCTAAAATAAGAAGGGACGGCGCCTAAACAAAGAAAAACAGTAAACACCTTTATCACATCCAAAACGGCTCAGGAAGACTAAGGAAAAGCCCTTAACACGGCCAAGAGAAAAAACAGCAGCCACTAACAGGAGAATAAAACCACCTGGAGCAAGGTAGTTAAATTTTGCCTTGCCAATATATAGAACTTACCCTGGTGGTAGATTCTTAATTGATAAGCTGAGCCTTTACCATGCTCGATTTTGAGATTATAATTTAGGGATTTTTATTTAATTTAAAAATAAATAACATACAAAAATCGCGATTTCTAATTTCTAAAGCTTACGAAAAAAGTCACATAAAAGACGGACACCAGTCGTTAAAAATCATTCAAATCAGGAGTAGATCACAAAATAAAGACAGTTCTTATAATAAACTAAAACAAGTCAATTGAGATTTTGGCACATATAAAAATCATATTTCAAAGTCTTGCCAATGCTTACTGCAAATAACATGTCACTTCAAAACACAACTAGTATTGAAAGCAACGAAAAAACAAAAGATTTTGTGTATAGTAAGGATGTGAAAGATTACAAATGGAAAAATATAGGTATAAGATGCCAATTCAGTTTGGCAGTTAACATTTTAATTAAATAACATATCTGCAGCAAAATGCTGTCTAAGTTAATCTATAACCAGTTTTCACTACCAATTAACCTAATAACTTAACCTTCAACCTGCAAATACCAGTTGTCGTGCCACTGCTTCACTTGGAATAAACATGGGAACACATCTTATAACTCAATGTAAGAATTAGGACCCAAAAGCACATCAAGAAGAACAAGCTCCGGGAAACCACCGATCCTGTCGTCTTACCAGAAAGCACCGAGTTGACTGGACTGACATCACTTTGCAACACGTTGAATGAAAATACAATATTGACATTCCCATTTTTTCCCATTGACCAGTCCACCCCAGTGCCAGTTAAAGTCATGTTTCTTATTCTGATCATACCAGCAGTAACACGAACAGAACTGGAAGATTGTGCCAAAGAATTGAGCCGAATAGCTGCTTCCTTTGTTGGGAATTCAGCAGCAAATGCAGGAGGTGCAGAAATGCCACCCAACATTTGACTGGCCTGTTTGAGGAATGGGTACTTGGTATCTGCAACGGAAGCACAAAAAATATCCTGTTACTACAAACACAAGTTGCGAAAATCAAACTAGCAGACAAATCAATCTAGATATGACAAAACTTAGCATTACGCATTAACCCAATTATCATGTATATATATAGCATATAACAAAGACAGCTAGCAGTTCCAACTCAAATGAACGTATAGTTAACAAAGACAACTAGTGGTTCCAACTCAAAACAAACATATAGTTTTACCTGGTTCGAATTCTGTGGTCTCTGGCTTTTGATTTGAAGTAGACGCCTCATTGCTACCATGTGTTTCAGACATATGGCTAGCCATGGGCACTTGCTCAGTTACTCCATTCACCTGCTATCACAAAGTAACAAGTTACATTATACTGAAATTTTATAGTGAATAATAAATAAATAAAAAAGAGGCTTCATACGGTGAAGTTTGAAAAAGAATTTCTACCTTCGGGCTTAAGAGTGGTGTGATGTCAGAAACATTGTTTCCGCCCTCCATAATTTCAGAAGCATCAAAAGTGAGATATTCTGAGTTGTCATCATTAGCATCAAAGTAATTAAGGTACTCATCCACCATGTCAAAACCTCCTGAATCTGCCTCGATGTTATTTGAAAGATCATTAGCTTCCAGGTATAACCCATCATTGAATGGCAGATTATCAGTAGCATCCAAGTAAGGCTCATCAAGCAAATAGTTAACATCACCGGGACCAACATTGTTGTTTGATTCAATGATATATTCATTTTCCACTGGTCTCGCATTGAACTCATACTGCTCTGGTAAATCACAGAAATTCTGCTCAACTTGCAGCTGTGGAACTGGTGTTTCACCCACGCCTATTATGGGCTTCTGATCATAATTGCTCAAGTCCTCAGAATGCTCAACATGGTTGCTTGAATCCCCATAATAGAAATTGGATGGAAGATAAGCATTGTCAGATTGGTTGGCGGAATCAAGTTTCTGTCACCAAGGAAAAATTTCAGAATTTTGTATGACAGTATTGAAATAAGAAATATCAGAAAGTAAAATAGGCAGGACATGTCCATGAAAGAGAAAAATTCCCACAACCACCTCTATGGCAAAAATATAAGAGACCAAAATCTAGAAGACAGTTCAAAACAGGCTGTCAAAAGATTTAGCATGGTTGAAAAGTTTATAGGAAAAGTTAAATTCTCAGAAAACACTGACAATTCTACACCAACTATCAATATCTCTCATTACTTCGCAGCAAAATTTTCCATTTTTTAATATAGAAGTTTGGGTTCTACTTCGATTTCAATATGTGGGTGTTCTATGTTTCACTGAATTTGCAAAGTAGAGTTTGCTAAATCCAAGGCAAGACACTATAAGATCCACAGGTTCTTAAAAAAAAAAAAATCTATATTACCCGTCAGTTGAAATTTTAAAGTATTAAGAAGTGCTTTGTACATACAGTCGTATAGAATGTAGGTTAAAAGAACCAAGAAACTAATGTGAATCAATTTTCACTCACTTCCACATCAACATTCAAGCAGAGCTATAATTTTTTCACCAAAACAAATGTTATCCCAAATACTCTTGATATACAATTCAATTTTTGTTTCAAGGTATCAGTTCAAGTTTTATTTCACATAAATTATAGTCACTATCTACTCCAATCCATAACTAACAATTAAAATATACCACCATATAATGCAATTCACCATCCAGATGAAGTCTAATCTGAACTCAAATAACAAATTAGAGAAAATTACGAACCTGGTCAAGGTCATTCGTTTCAAAATATGAATCATCACCAACTGCTATTTCATCAGCCACCATCTCTTGACCTGGCATATATGCTGCCTCAACCACATCATCATCCTCCCATTCCTCCTCAACAAATGGCGCCCCATACTGCTCCCCATTCTTTGGCCCTGATCCACTCTTCTGAAATATCCTACACAGAACAAATGCATCCTTCCCACCACAACCAATGACCAGTCAGCTTCCAGTCTTGAGTAAAAAAACCCAAAGATGTTAAAAAAAAAAAAAAAAAAAAATCTATGACTGTATCCAATAACTAATCAACTAACAGAGCAGCAATAAAAAAATCACAAGTACTCAAAACATTGTATAATAAAAAAAAAAAAATTTGCAAGTTCACTATAATCTCACTTGTGCGACTCCAGCTTTCTCCAATTCCTCATCAGTCAGCCGGTACTCGTGCATGACCCAATTGGTGCGTTCACCACGTGGAGCCCTCCCCCTGTGATAAACAAGGGTCTTCTTCATTCCAACAATCCGAGTGTTATGATGTATAACTCGATCCTTTCCAGTTGTTTTCCAGTAACCTTTCTCAGTGGCTCGGTTTGTCCTCGACCCATTGCCATACTTCTTATCCAACATACTGAAAAAATACCACTCCAAGTCCCTACTTTTTAACCTCGACTTATCTGAACCAGGAGAAAACCAAAAAGGATTAAGATCTAAGATTTATGTAGACATAAGTAGATACAAATACATACAAAACATAAACATGTATAAACATATATACGTTAATGCACATATACAAATTATAATTACTTACTGGGTCATACCACATACCACTCCGGTGACGTTAAAGGGCTGCTCTCAACCACTGAATTGAAATAAAAAAAATACTATACATAATTTAAGATTCCAATCAAATGGATTGGACTGGCCCTGAAACGTAACTAAAACAGTAACATAGTATTTCCCATACATATTTGATTTATACATCCATCCATCACATTAAAGAATGCTACTTCAAGCAGATACTCTTGACTATAAATAAAAACCCCAACCTATAAGAAAAAAGCGCCATTATCTACACTACACATACATTAAAACCCATATATATAAAATGTATGAAAATATTTCTACAGAAGACAGTGAAGTTTCTGCCATAACAGAAGTTATCAATACCAAATAAACATCAAATTTATAATAACATCAGCATGACTTCTTGTGTAGAATGCAAAATTAGTCATAAAATAAAGTTTATCGTAGAATGGAAAACTTATAAAATAAGAGTGTTTACAGTCTGACATTTAGTATTATTTTCGTAGACACAAAAGATGACAAACACATTTATACACAGAAGACACGTATCCAGTAGTCCAAAAAAGTCATTCTAAATCCCCCAAGTCAAGATTATAAACCCCACATGAACATGTAGAATCTAACATCACTATTCAAAAATAACAAACCATAGGTATTCAAATATGTTCTACCATAATATTTCTAAACCGTAAGGGTCACCTAACACACTAATCTAACAACTAACAACAAAACAATATATATAAATTTAAATTTAAATCTATTAACACATAAGATCCCTAAATCAAACCAAAAAAACAATCACTAAAACAGGAAGATAAAAAGAGCTTCAAAATTGAATACCAGGGAGATCCCACGGCTCAGACTTGTAGATATCGGTGACGGAGATCGGGTCGAACCGGAACGGCTTGTTCAGAATCTTCCTCTTCAAGTAGTACCAGACCAGCTCCTCATCGGTCGGGTGAAATCTGAACCCCGGTGCTAGAGACTTCGCTTCCGAGTCACAGCCCATTGATCAAAGCCAATACAAAGATAATAGAGTCCAAATTGGATAATAATTCAACAATTATCGAACTAAAATTAGTGAAATTGAGGCTAATTTTTAAAATTAGGGTTTAGGTTTTTGGTTAATTTCTAATGAGTTATGGGGAGAAAGCTAGAAGAAGAAGAAGAAGACATCGTGCTGATGAAGAAATGAATAGTCCACGAAGCCAAAGCGAGCTTTTGATAAAGAAGGGCGTTGATAGAGTTACTTGTGGGGTTATATTTTGTGTGTGTAGCCAACGTGGTACTGATGTGGACTTTGGATAGTCTGACACGTGTACGGACATGGCTTTCCCTTTAGAGTGCACGTGGAGAGCCAATGGCGTGCGGTTGCTTCGTCNTGATCAAAGCCAATACAAAGATAACAGAGTCCAAATTGGATAATAATTCAACAATTATCGAACTAAAATTAGTGAAATTGAGGCTAATTTTAAAATTAGGGTTTAGGTTTTTGGTTAATTTCTAGTGAGTTATGGGGAGAAAGCTAGAAGAAGAAGAAGAAGACATCGTGCTGATGAAGAAATGAATAGTCCACGAAGCCAAAGCGAGCTTTTGATAAAGAAGGGCGTTGATAGAGTTACTTGTGGGGTTATATTGTGTGTGAGTGTAGCCAACGTGGTACTGATGTGGACTTTGGATAGTCTGACACGTGTACGGACATGGCTTTCCCTTTAGAGTGCACGTGGAGAGCCAATGGCGTGCGGTTGCTTCGTCGTTCCGTGTTACTGACGTAATGGCGTCCGTAAGTGATATTTGTAAGAGAGATATAGAGAAAATGACGGATGTGCCCTTCTGGATGCTCCAAGTGGACCGTATTGATAAAAATCAATTCAAATTCAAATATAATATAAGGTCCATGTGACATGCGTTACAATGTACAAGCTCTTTATTCTCAAAATCAACTTTACTGATAAAACAAAATATGAACTTAGTTATATACATGTTCCACGCTTTAAAACAAAGACTATAAATAATTAATATCATTTTTATTTGTAATACATAAAACAAACCCACGTTAATTAAATTTTATAACCTATTGTTTTATTATTTTTATAAATAATATTACGCTTTCCAAATGAAATCTCAATTTTATTGAAATTACACAACTTTAATTTAATAATTTTTTATTATTTATTTTAACAACTCAAACTTAATGATAAACAATTTTTTATTATTACAAATATTTGAAAGAAAATTTTGTTATTTAATCAAACTTTACATAAATTAATGTAATTTTAACTCAAAATTATAAAATCAACTCATTCATGCAGCAGGGTTTTGAGAGGCACCCGAAAATAATTAATTACTGATAGATTAAGAAAAATTGAGGCAACGTTCCAACAGATGGAAATGTCGACAGATTCAACAGTGATAAAAGTTGCAGCTGTTACAGACTTAAACGAGGTCTCAGTATCAAGTTTAGCTAATACTGCTGGACAATGTCCACCAATTTGATAACCTTACTACTAAACAACAGGGCATCCTAAATTTACAAACATGCTATCGAATACACTCATTGGAGAGGGAAAAAGGGGCACATTGATACTTGATTCAGCAAACAATAAGATTACAGGGGCATTCAACGCCACGCGTAGGCATTTTTCTTGCCCCCCCTTCAAATCCTCCTCTTCAAATCCTCGTTTTCCTTGCTCAGGTAATCGATTCGCGACTGAAGAATGTTAATCATGGCCTGAGCACTCATCATTTCAAGTTTTAGTGTCTCCCTCTCAACAGCGGTTTTATGAACCTGTTTCTGCAAATCTTTGATGAGTTTAACACAACTAGGGGGCACTGATGAATCAAAACCATCAGCCCCGAATGTAGTTCAGAGAGCAGGCGGATTCTCTTTGGGTGGTTCAATAGACTCCATCAGAGAGAATTCCAACAATGCAGATATTGCTGTTGTTGTTGCTGCATTTGTCATTGTTGTTTCTGCTGTTGTTGTGGTAGACGAGGAAGGATCGTGTCCTGTCCCAGTTGAATTATCTGAACCATTTGATCGGTTAGAACCTGAATCATTCTGCCTTCTTCTTTTGTACTGAAGAAGAGGAAGAGCTGCCTGTGTATTGAGCACACAAAGTGAAGGACATTCATCTCTCCTTTCACTCTTGCACACTGCTAAAACATTTTGAGCCTCTTTTGGAAGTTCGTTAACATTAATAGGCTCCTTATTGTTTGATTGAGAATCCTGCAACAATTAGCCAACATTTAACACCAAATTTGGGAAGTTGAGGTTTATAAAGACAAAACAATAAAAGGTTTTTTTATCACTAAAAGGATATGGGAGACAAGCACAACCAGAACTGTAAGCATAGCAATTAAAGTAAATAGCAATGCCTCAACAAGTGACATCTGGAGAAGTCATCAAACAAAGAAACTCTTCATCAAATAGAAATGTAATAAATCAATTAACCATGGCTAATCATCAAATATCAAAGAATTTGTACAAAAATCCTGCAAACGCCCCATTAAATAATTCAGGGTTTCACACCATTAAAATTCCCTTTAACTCAAACAGAATGATTTATATCGTGTAAGTCCAACTCTCCAATCACTAATTCAAGTTTTTAACCACGAGAGAAGTAATTAATCAGGACTACCAACCCCCAGGACGCACAATCTGTATTCCACGGACACTATTTTTGTGGAACATACATTTAGCATTAGAAGCAATTTCAGACACTATAACTAATCTTGAAAATAGAAATACAAACAACCAAACAAAACTAAGCACACAGTCATATACAGACAGAGACAGAGAGAGAAAAACTTGAATCAAAATTTTCAAAGAGATAAGACTTCAGGAAAAAAAAAAAAAAAAAACATCTACTCCTCAGGATCTCTTTATGCCTGTTCTCTCAAATTTTATTTCCATAGCATATATAGAGCTATGAGCATCTTATCTCTGAGCACTCTATTCTGTCCCAAATTTTCGCCCATCCTTCTAACAAGCAGGAAACCTGACATAAAAGAAATTTCACCCGAGAGACTGAGAGGAATACAAATCCTGATAGACTTTTAAAATTCCCATCTCTGAGCAATCTATTCTGTCAATCTTTGTAGGTTTTCCTTCACCACAAGGTCTGCGCATAAACTCTAAAGGCCTCACTTGCTTTTTTAATGAGTGTAGAGACATTTCAGTAGGTAGATACATGATTATATTTAGATTTATAAAACTATCACATAAAGATAATCAACCAGGGCCTCCTTAGTTCTCCCATCAATTGACAATAGTCAGATACAACTACTGATGGACGGCAGCATCATTACTTCTATCAGTGCAATCAACATATTTAATTATGGACTTTAATAGTCGTGCTGAGTTGCTACTGCATATTTCAAATGCATCCCTCTGCTTAAAATAATGTTATACATCTCAAGTTTGTATCATAATTTTTGCATTCCAAGCAACATGTCATTTATTTAAAAATGCCACACGAAAAATAAATATGAGTGTCATGGCAGCCTAAAACTAAAGCAACATTACTTGAGATGCAAAATTGGGAATACAAACTTGAGAAGTGTAATATTACTCACGCAATTATTACTGTCTGATAGAACACCACCAACACCAAGACCCATCTCACATGTTTACAGGAAAAGGAAGAAAGGGGACAATTAGTTAGTAGGCCTTTTGGGAAGTTTGTTAGCACATAGCCACGTGGCAGTGGCAGTAGCAGTGAGAAAAGTGTTGATTAGTTGTATATATATATCTGGGTATATGATTTGTAAAGTTAGAGAATATTTTAGCAAAGGATTAGTGTGGAGGGTCCTAGCACCTCGAATAGCTAGCGTTATCTTAATTTTGTTTTCCTTTCAATTTTGTTCTTATTGTTCTTACAATTCTGTTCTTAGTTTCTGGGCTGTTCAAATACTGCAGATAATCAATACAAAATACAGAGTATATTCAGAAATTGTTGCTTGTTCTGTTGTGTGTTGTGTGAATTCTGGTTGAGGTTATTGGGGTTCCTATCAAATTGGTATCAAAGCCTTGTGCAGGTTATGGTGAATACAAGAATGGAAGGAATGATCAATGGGTTAGAGAAAGACATGGGAAGTGGCAAAGAGGATATCAAAAATATAAAAGGTTATCTAATGGAACAATTCAACCCAATATTAGTCTGTTTCCGAGTCCGATGTTGTTAGTTAAGAAAAAAGATGGGAGTTGGAGGTTTTGTATGGACTAGAGGGCTTTGAATGAAATCACCATACCTAACAAATTTCCCATTCCGGCCATTGATGAGTTGCTGGACAAATTGGGGGGAGCCGCCATTTTTTCCAAGTTAGATCTTATATCTGGTTATCACCAGATTCAAATTCAAGAGGATGTGCCCAAGACCACTTTTCAAACTCATGAAAGGCATTACAAGTTCTTGGTAATGCCTTTTGGGTTCACAAATGCCCCTTCGACTCCAAGCATTGATGAATGATATCTTCAAGCCATTTCTTCAAAAATTTGTTTTTGGTTTTTTTCGATGATATACTAATCCACAGCACTGATCTTTTATCTCACCTGTTGCACTGAAGACAGGTTTTTTCAGATATTGCAGGAACACAAATTGGTCATTAACCGCAAAAAGTGCGTATTTGCACAAGCAAAGATTGAATACTTGGGGCACTTGATCTTGACAAAAGGGGTGGAAGCTAATCCTGCCAAGATGGAGTGTATGCTTTCATGGCCTATTTCGAGAACAGTGAAGAGCTTGAGAGGCTTTCTTGGCCTCACAGGTTAATATGGCAAGTTTGTCCAGGGCTATGGACAAATTGCACAACCCCTAGCCCAATTGCTAAAGAAAGATTCTTTTTCTTGGTTTGAGGACACGCAAAGAACCTTTGAACACCTTCAGAAAGCCATGACCTTAGTCCTAGTTCTGGCTATTCCTGATTTTTCACAGCCATTTGAAATCCAAAAAGATGCCTCAAGTCAAGGGATGGGTGCGGTGTTAGTTCAACATGGTCGACCAGTTGCATTCTTAGCAAGGCTTTCTCCACTACCTCCAAACAGAAGTCAGTTTATGAGAGGGAGCTAATAGCAATTGTCTTTGCTGTCCATAGGTGGAGTCACTACCTGATAGAGAGAATTT